CACTCTTATCCGCCGAGGTGTTACATATTTACGACCCGCTTCTAGCTACACGCGTCACTACCGATGCGTCGGGCTATGGCATTGGGGCCGTCCTTGAGGGGGGGCATTGATCATGCCATTCAACGACAAACGAGGCCACTGTCTTGGAGGCTGTGGTGGAGACGGGGAATGTCTCCGCCAAAGAGGCATCTGTAACGATCTATCTGACAGCGGATGCCTCGGCCGACAGGGCCTTTGTGATGGCTTATCTGACCATGATGATGAGGTCGATGATGAGGAAGTATCGAAGGGAGGGGAGGAGGAGGGAGAAGAGGAAGAAGTAGGGGATGAAGAAGAAGAGGCAGATGACTGAAAGGGCGCTGCACTAGAGGACGTGGGTGGGGGTGGCGGTGATGATGGTGGTGGCGGTGAGAATGGTGGTGGCAGTGCTGATGATGACGGCAGTGATGGCGGTGGTGGTCGAGGTGGTCGGGGGGGTGGTGATGGAGGCGACGGTGGCAGCAGTGGCGGTGGAGGAGGTATACCTTCAGCTGCAGCAACAGTCGCCGTGTTGGTAGGATGCTGGCCTTCATCCCTTACAGCCACTTCGGTAACGTTTACATTGTTTACTGCGGCTAGCATGGTCTCTAGCTGAGTTCGCGTATCCACATTAGTGTCTGCCATTTCAGCAGGGATAACAGGGGAGGGAGGGCTCGCTGCGTTTGATTGTGCGGAGGGCTGATGCTGGCTGCGCTCAACATTGGTGACAGGTGGTGAGTGGTGGTCTCTTGTGTGTGGTTGGGTGGAGGGCCTGCGCACAGAATCAGCATTCGGGAGTGGGAGTGCAATTGCCCAGCAAAATATTCGACGAAACCAGTTCGAAAGTCGTATGACATGAGTTGGTAGCCGGCGCTGGCGGCCACGCACATATGCAGTCCAGCCTCTAGCCAGGACACCGGGAGGATGGCCCCTGACAAGCATACGTCGTGTCAGGGAAGTCACTGCCACTTTGAAGTCGGTGGTATTCTTACATATATGTTTGAATCTCATTAGTTGTCCCGTGAGCACACCTGCAGGCTGGTGACCCGGGGCATTGGGATAACGTATGACAGGGAACGTTCAGGCCTCAGCCTTATCAAATACGCCAATGTGAAGTGAGCCATCAGGCGGAACCAGGATTCTTGCACCAAAGAAAAGACATGACCCATCTTGCTCAGTAGTGTTTTTCCACTGAAGACCATACCGAGCAGGAGACGGTGGTGATGTCTTCCAGGATAGAATGTCATCAATGAATCGGTATGCGAATGCATATGCTTGCGCAGCAAGCAGATCTCGCTGACGAAGATGATTGAACTGTGCTTCGTCCCAATAAAGTGTGAGGTTGGCAATTTCTGCTCCAGCTTAAGTGCCCATAGGGATGCCGACCACCTGATGGCGCAGAGTGCCGTCTCTCGTAGATGTTGCTTTATTTCTGACACCGAGAGGGTGTCTGACTCATGTGAAGTAACCCATTCCCCACGATGAGGACCTCCTACGGTCATGTACATTTGTACTGGCCTTCTGCCCTGTGGGATCCGCCCCAAAGCATAATCATGTGCTTCAGAACAGCATTCAGAACATTGTTAAGAATCCTGTTGTGTGGCAGGTTCGTGTACATAGTTGGAAAGTCCACTGTATGTGGTGTGCAGCCTCGACGGGATTGTGCATTCTGCTTGAGATCCAGAATGACTTCCTCCGCACTTTGCAAGATCCAGCAACATCGTACACCACTTTCTTGATAGAGTTCATTGTCCTTATTGCGTAGGGACTTGATCACACCTTGAAGGGCGTAGCTAAGTGAGCGGGAGGTCATTGTTGTACTCGCAAAAGGCTTATGAGGGGGCCTGTTGTGCAGGTCTGTAACTGAAGGTTGGTGAGGTGTTGTGCAAGGTGCAGATCGGGAAAGGTTGTTACGCTGTGTAACTCCAAGAATCGGACGAAGGGCAGGTGGAGATTTGTGTGCTTTGAGTGCAAAGTAGAGATAGGGCAGGGTGTCAGTATGTCGACAGCCCCAGCGTTGGTTGAAAAGTGCATGGCGTTCGAGGATGCTGGCCACAGTCTCCGATGCTTGATTGTAGGTCGGACTGTCAAGATGCTGTGATAACTTATACACGTACCAGCGCTGGCAGCAGATTGCCATGTGGTGTGATTTTTTTTTTTTTTTTTTTTTTTTTTGCAGTTGAGATTGGCAATCTTCATCTGTCAAAAACAGTCCACAAGATGGTTGGTTACCGATACTCCCGCTACCCTGCCTGTGTCATTTTTGTGTGATGTTTTATCGACAGGTACTATGGCAAATTGCTGCGGTAACTGCCGAAGAGATGTGTTGGCAGCGCGAAGCAGTTTGAGTAGGTGCTTGGTACAGTGACGCAGTGAAATTCAGTCGGCATCTTGAAAGTACTGATGTGCGCCATGTGTGCAGCTGAGAGAGATTGTTAGCAATTAGAGACTCATTGTTGCGTGCTGATCTCATGGTTGCTATAAATTTGGCAATATACTCATCCAGACCGAGTTTCAAAGCTTTCATCACATTTGTGGTGTCGGCATTGAGGCGGTGCTTGGAGCCTTCAAAGAAGAGAGCCCGCAAGTGTGTATCTTGTATAATGGTGTAGTCCACTGTGGCTACATGACCATCGTTGGAATACTTGTCGACAAGGACAATTGTCAGGGTCTGGAAGAGGCATAATGCTTGTTATGCCAAGTGCCACTTCTGTAAAATTACAGAACTGGACATGTATGGGTGGCACCATCTTGTCGCAGATACGTATCTGCTTGGCAAGGGCAGGCCGTTGATGTAATTCAGCAATGTGTGTGTGTGTGTGTGTGTGTGTGGATCTCTCTCTCTCTCTCTCTCTCTCTCTCTCTCTCTCTCTCTCTCTCTCTCTCTCTCTCTCTCTCNTCTCTCTCTCTCTCTCTCTCTCTCTCTCTCTCTCTCTCACACACACACACACACACACACACACACACACACACACACACACACACACACATTTTATTTTACTTTCAAGTTTCAAGTTGATCTGGCTATACGCAGTCTCTGTCAACTTCATAGCACCAGCAACGCCCGGTAGTTCCCCTGGCATTCCACGTGCACAGCGATCTGCATGGCGGCAAGTGGAAACGAAGAAAAATCATTCAAAAATGAAATGAGATAAGCATTTTTTGTTTTTTTTCTTTTGCTTTTTGGAAGGGCAATGGCCTTGAGATATCATCCATGAGCTGACGGCCCCCAGGTAATCCAGAATTCTTTCAGTCTGTTCATCTGATTGCATCTGGATTCGAACTTGGGTCTGTATTTCAACAGTTCATGGGTGTACCAACTGAGCTAGGCCCCCTTGGTTGAGGTGACCCAAATCCTACAAACCCACAAAGACAAAAATGAATTGAGAAGACCTGAGATGAGATGAATAGAATCTGCAAACCAACAGAAACTTTATCACCGCTGACTGACCTCATACTGTATCTCTTCTTTATAAATAAATAAATAAATAAATACATTTAAATTTTAAAAAAAAAAAACGCAGAGCCTTAAGGTTCTGGCTGAGTGACTGACCTCATCCTGTAACTCTTCAAGGTGAAGAAGCCGCGAAAACTGATCGACATAGTTTTCATGGGTCAGCGGTCCTGTCAGAGTTGTATCGTCATATAACACTTCCTCAAGTCCCCTTTCGTCTGCAGCTTTTCTCAGTGATTGTGGTATGTAATAAGAATCGATGAACCTCAAAGCTGTGTTGCCCTTCCCGGGAAGTTTAAGAGCCTTGTCAGGTCTCACTAGCTCGACTCCTTCCTCCCCGCGAACCCCCCAAACTGGGCCCCCGACATTACTGGGCCGGCAAAAAGGACGAACAGGGGCAAGCTGTCTGATGCTTCGGTCCTCCACCGATATATCCACATATCTGGCGATCGTGAATTCTCTGCTACCTTCCCATGATGATGTTTTACAGAATCTAAAAACAATTGCGGTGCGGATCAGACCTAAGTTCAACGGTTCGTGGCAGACGACCGTCAAGATGAGCGACGATCCTGGCGCAATGGGCACCCCTTTCCTACCCTCCTCATGTTGGCCGCCACCTGCGTCGTCTGCAAGCCAAAGCGCTGGACTACTCTTTGCTGGGAAACAGCACTCTCCCGATGTTCCAACCACCTTCTTTGAGACGCCTGGCCCTTCCAGAAGGAGCAGAACTTCATCTCTTTCTATTGCCGGCTTGCAGGACAAAAGGGTAACACTCTTCTTCCCTGTGTTGCTGATCGTTAGTGCCCAACGGGCCGACGTTCCCACTTCCAACACAACGGGTGGGCATTTCCCATCTGGCCCCGGCGCAGGAAACGGCTTCGAGATGACAATCCCTTGTTTATTTGCCTCAAGCCCAGCTCTGTGGTCCCTAATCGCGACGACATCCGTCCTAGCTCGATGACTCCAGCTCGCGACATGACCTTCCCATGCAGACCGTGTTTCACACGTCTCTTCGCACAGATGACATACTGCTGGGAATTGCTGAGGAATCTCGGCGGACGACTGGCTACCCTGCAAAAAGTCGCCACCCACACCGTTCTCCCCTGACCCGGACCCGTCATGCTTCTTACTTCGGGTTAGATCGGAACGGCAGGTTAGCTGTATGATAAGCGATACAAGTTCTGGGTCTTCCTCCGCTGTGCAAGCCGCGATGGCCTGATTAGCCAACGTAGCAGCCAGGCGATGGCGGAGGGATCGTAGGTGCACTTCTAACTCCCTGTGAACGCGGAATTTGGTCGCACAGATAGTGCAGGAAAACTCCTTGTTCCATGTTGCGATGGCTGCTACTGCACTAGACCCATCACGCTCGGCCGTCTCGCGCTCTGTTCCTACGGCTTGAGCATTTTGCACCTGTTTGTTTGAACCAGGCATCCTCCACCCTTGATAACCCTGTCCATAGTATCTCTCACCGTCGACAAAGAAAGAAGAAGAAGAAGAAGAAGAAGAAGAAGACGAAGACGAAGAAGAAGAAATTGAAGATGGCCCCCCTGTCCCCTTCTCCAAACCCTTCGAGTCTCTGGCAGACAGATGACCTCCTGGCCTTTGAGACGGCGTGCTGCTCGCTTTCTGCCTAGAAATGAAGCATCTTCCTCTCCCCTCAGCATGCCCGGGTCCGTGCCCAGGTCCGCCGCGGAAAGTTTTATCTTGAAACTGGCAGCTTTGGGGATCAGAATGGGAGGACGCAGCAGCACGGTTTGGTCCCCATCGTTGCGCCAGGGGATCTGCTGGTCGTATCATGCCTTTCGTCTGGGGATACAGTCTGTTATTCCCCCCCATAGCGTGCTTCCCATCATCCTTCTCGTTAAGTTTCCCCGCCGAGAATACGGAACAAGGAGCACCACTGGCCGGCAACCATTGGATGCACCGGCCGTCTTGACGAGCTCCACTAGATCGCATGTATTTCAACATCTTCAACACCTCAAGCATGTCGAGGATGGCCTGAAAATCCGGAGGAGGTAGTGCTTGCCCCGCATTTATCCTTCTCCCGGTCCTCTTCGAATCTCGACTTGCCATCCTACTTTGTTGAAACTCGTCGTAGACGCGGTTCAACTCTTGCATGCTAGATGACCACTGGCTAGTGAACTCGATGTAAGACATAAACTTGTCAGCATGCTCCTTCACGTGGTTGGCAGGAAGGACCGCAGGATAAACAGATGCTGGACCTGTATCAGGATGCCTTTCAGTCATCCGTAGACTGCTTCCGTGCCAGGGAGGGTTTTCAGGACCATGGCCCCACGCACTACTTTCTCTGCCGCGGGCTCCCCTCCCACCCGGCCGATAAAATTGTATGTTGCCACTGCAACCTCCTTGTTGCGCTGTGCCTCTGCTGCAAGCACCAGAAGCATCTGGAAGTGAATTCTGAAGACAAGGGGTGGTTTTCGAGGGTGGCTGGAAATCCCACCCAGTGGGCTCGCATGGCGACGACGAACCCCACCCAGTGGGCTTGCATGGTGGTGACAAACCCCATCGGGTGGGCTCACATTGCGACAGTGAACCCCCACGGGAAGGCTGGGGTCCACATCGCACCGGCGAGCCCCCCCCCGGGGTGGGCTGGGGCTCGCACTCCCGGAGCGGTGAACCCCACCCGGTGGGCTCACACGATGGCGGCGAACCCCATCCAGTGGGCTCACAAGGTGGCGGTGAACCCCACCCGGTGGGCTCACAAGGTGGCGGCGAATCCCACCCGGTGGGCTTATGTAGTTGGTTGTTGTGCCGCTTAACTTTCACAGACCTCTGCCGACCTTTTGCTGGCATCCAACCTGCAGAAGGGTCTTCTTTGAGACCCTCTTGCACAGCAGGAGGGGTGCTTTCCAAGGGTGGTGTCGAATCCCACCCAGCATGGTTGATTGCTGAAGAAGTATCATTGCATTCACCCCTCTCACATTGCTCATCTACTGTTCCTGCCACCTGGTCTCGGGCAGCATTATGCCTATGGTCATCGTCAGCGGGACTGGCACCGCATTCCTCCTCATGCGAGTCATCACCACGTGACTTGTCCACCTCCTCCACCTCATCTGCCCATCTGCTTGGTTTCTCCATGTCATCGCCCTCTGGTCCACGTGGTTTGTCCACGTCATCACCCATTATTAATCTGCATGCTTCATCCATCTCATCATCTTCCCATCTATGAGGTCCATCCACACCTCATCATCTGACCATCTGCATAGTTTCTCCACCTACTCATCGGCGGGGACCGCATTCCTCGTCAAGTGAGTCGTGTGGCTTATCTGCTTTCCCCTACTCCCCAGAGAGACCAACCTTGGCATCCGCTGGACCCCATTCCTCCTCCTCTCCTCAAGCGGGACCCCATTCCTCCTCCTCAAGCGGGACCTCATTCCTCCTCAATTGAGTTCACATCGGCACTTTGTCGAATGTTGCTGCCGCATTGACCGGCTCTTGCAAGCTCCATCCAATCCAGTGGGCCGCACTGCTTCGATGAACCTGGACCAGTAAGCGCAGGAAGTACTTCTGGGATGCAATCCGTTCCTGGTCCAGAAATGGGACCATCATCACCCACGCGAGATCCATCACGCTGACGCAGCATTGGTGGCGACATCACCAACTCCCTTCTCCATTCCTAAGCTCAGCCAAATCACCAACAGCAACTGCAACTGCAACTGCAGCTGAGTGAAGCCTTCCTTCAATCTACACGGGTCATATACAACTCGTGCCGTCAGCAAGGTGTCCAGGTTCTTGGCATCAGAGGGGACCTCATGCACTTGTTGTTGCGCCAAAACCAACCTGATCGCAACGTTGCAGAGCGATAAGCAGCATTTCAAAAAAAAAAAAAAAAAAAAAAAAAAACAGAGGGGTCAACACCCATCATCTTCTTTATAAAAAATCCAAAAGAAAGGGGAAAAAAAAAAACATCCAGGTTGTTGTAGCGGCCGGATTCAAACTGCTGGGGGGGGGGGGGGAAGATCCCGCGGAATTCATACCATTCCGTTGTCTAGATGCATTGCCATGCCCTTGACTAATCAAATGGCTGCAAATGTAGTACTAAATTGCAAGGACACATTTGTTTTTTGTTTTTCGAAATTTTTGTTTTGTTTTTTTGGTTGTTTTTGCGTGTGTTTGGTCGCGGGTTTTTCATTTGTGTTTTCGGTTGCACTTTTATTTCCCCGTGCGCAGTAGGGTTCACACATCCATCCTATGGCAAAAAAAAAAAAAAAAAAAAAAAAAACCCCCCCCCCCCCCCCCCTTTTCTATATTTTTTTTTTTTTTTTTTTTTTTTTTTTTTTTTTTTTTTTTTTTTTTTTTTTTTGTGGCCACCGTTTATTCCCGTTACAGTTGTGGTTTAACAAAGATAGAAAAATTATCGCACGCACCTCCTTTTTTCCCCCTTTTTTTGTTTGTGGTTATTCTCCTGTTGTCATTGCTTACCATGAACCAGCTTCACTTTCACGTCCACGTTCACGTTCCATGTTCATTTTCATTTTCATGTTCACTTTCACAGTCACAAAGCTCGCCAATCACAGATGTTGCTGAATATATTTATTCTGAATTTATTTATTCTGAACTGAATTTATTTATGTGAACAAAGATCGATGAATACGAATTTCTGAATTTATTTATGTGCAATTGCCGAACATCGATGCTAAATACTAATAGCAGCAAAAACGCCTTTCTAAATAAGTAATACGGTAATTGATAATTGAAAAGAAAAGAAAATAAAATAAAAAATTCAACTTCACACGGTTTTATTTTTATTTTTTTCCCATAAAGGTTTTTTTTTCTTTTTTTTTCTTTTTTACTTTTGTTTTTCATAGGTGTACCAACTGAGCTACTAGGCCCGTTGGTCTTCGTACGTTTTTTAACTTTCGCAGTTGTGTTTAGAAAAAAAAATATTATTAAAAAAAAAAAAAAAAAAAGCACTGCCCGAGTATGCCTGGTGAATGTGGGCCGTTTACAACCAAAAAAAAAAAAAAGTCGCAACCCCCTCATCCGTCTTTCACCGCAACACAACGCACCCTCATGATGACTGCATCTAGCCGGAAAAATAGCACGTATGCATTCATTACGAACACAACGCACCCTCACGATGACTGTATCTGGCCAGAAAGATAGCACGTATGCATTCATTACGAGGGTGCGTTATGTTCGCAGGAAGACGATAGATCCGATCAGGGGAAAGACGGAAGATCCGATCTGAGCAAGACGGTTGATTTCGGTCGGGATACAGATCGCACGTATAGATGGGAAAAGTCGGTTCTGTGCAAAACCCCTCATCACGGGCCTACCATAGTTGCACCACTCGCCATTCGCCGCCATATTCTGAATGCATCTGGACAGGATTATATCCAGATACATTCAAAATCTTGCCCGATGACGACTGGTGCAACTGGGGCCAACCGGCGATCGTCCATCCGAAAACACGAACAATCTGTTTTTTTTTCCCCCTAAACACACACACACACATGATGTAGAGATTGCGTCGAAGCTCGAAGGGAAAAAAAAAAAAAAAAAAAAAAAAGAAAAACAACAACAACAACAACAACAACAACGAAACAAACAACAACAACACACACACCTCCGGTGTTCTGGATGTTATTTCCAGAATTCTAGCAAGGGAACGGAACAGGAAGGAAGCTGACTGTAAAAGAAGGGTGGAGGAGGCGGAGGAACGCATGGAGGGTCACCCGATATCGGAAGTAGTATGGGCCGCGGAGAGGGAGAGGAGGCTGAATTAGTGGGACAGACTGCAAGAAGAGAAACACAAGAGGTGGGCAGAGATCTTGCAAGTCAAGGGCATAGAGACCAGCGACAAATTAACGAAAGAGAATTTTCAACGGTTGCTGCCTCGACGCACACAGCAACAAATGGTCGAGTTAAGACACCCCTTCGACCGGCACGCACCGACAGCGAGCACCGCGGTGGGCATGCTGCATTACGCCAAGCTGTACTACATGGACATTCTGACTTCTAGATTTCCCCAGCAGAGCGTGAACCTCGATCTGTCCAGGGACTCGGACATGTGGGACGACACTACAGTGTGGTTGCAGCCTAATGCGAGGCTGGACTTGGACAGGCCGCTCACGGTGGAAGAAGTGAAGCAGACTCTTAAGACTATGGCCAAGGGAAAGTCCCCGGGCGTGGACGGTCTTACAGTCAAATTCTACGTCGCCAACTGGGCGGCTTTCGGCCCTGCACTAGTGGATATCTACAACGAGGTCCTGGTGGGGGGAAAGCTGGGCAAGGGGATGACACACGGAGTGATTTCTGTGTTGTTCAAGAAGGGAGACAAAGCGGAGGTACGAAACTGGAGGCCCATATCGCTCTTGAATGTCTCGTACAAGATCTTGGCAAAGGCCCTGGCTCGTAGGCTGTCGAGGTTCTTACCGGAACTGGTGGAGAAAGATCAGGGCGCCTTTGTTCAGGGCAGGTCGATCTTCAACAACATCGTCACAGCCATTGAGACGCTGGAAGTCGTGCAGAAGGAGAACCTGGACACAGCAATACTGCTCCTAGATCTGGAGAAGGCATATGACAAAGTCGGGTGGACTTTCGTCCTCACCACGCTTCGGAAGATGGGGTTCAGTGAAGGTTTCTGTGCCTGTATTATCGATATGTATACATACTCCACGTCGTCGGTGATGATCAACGGCCACCTGTCGGCGAGATCCCTGAGACAGGGTTGCCCGCTAGCTCCTCTTGTCTTCGTCCTTCAACTGGAAGTGCTGCTGAACAGAATCCGAAAGCACCCGAACATTCGGGGCCTCAGATTGCACACGGGCGAAGAATGTAAGGTGAAGGCTTTAGCGGATGATTTGCTTGCAGTGAGCGAAAACTCGGTATCATCGCTGGCGGCGCTGAAAGGGGTTATGCTGGAGTATTCTGAGTTGTCTGAGGCGTCAGTAAATTGGACCAAATCGGTGTTCCTCCTTCCAGAACAGTTCGTACTGAGAGTGGAGTGGGGTATGAGAAGAGTGGAGCCAGGGGAGGAGGAGAGATTTCTGGGAGTGCTTATCAGCCTTCAACTCGAAATGTCGACGCAGGGCCTTCTCCTGCAGCAGCGCATTGCAGCAAGGCTCAAAACATGGGAAGTTACTTGGCACCTGTCCCTGCTAGGGAGGGCCCTAGTGGCCAACGTAGCGCTGTTCTCGATTCTTTGGTTCGTTTCAACAGTCAGAGAACTGGCAACGGGGATCATAAGGGCAGTCAAGAGACTAGTAGGTCGCTTCATATGGAAACCCCGGGCACGGCTCACTGAGGGTTTCATCTCTAAGGTGGCGATGGATACTCTTTCTTTCCCGCGTTCCAAAGGAGGTCTGGGCCTCTCGGACCCAGCGCGCAGAAACCAGGCTCAGTTGCGCAACTGGGTAGCCAAGCTGGCCACCTTAACATCCAGGGAGCATTGGGTAGGGACTGCAGAACAGATTCTGATGTCGGAATGGAGTCTGAGCAGGCCACAGGATGTTTGGGACTGTTTCTTTATCCCGTCCTTCCACAAGAAAAGACTCAAGTCCAGATTCTGGGAGCCGATCAGGAAGGCGTGGAATCGCCTCCCTCCGGATCTGCAGAGCTCCCCGACCACAAAGGATGAAGTTCTGATGCAACTGCTGTTTGAAAATCCGGCCGTGACAGACCGAAACGGGCATCCGTTCAAAGCGGACGGCTCCACAGGCTCCTTTGGCCAAGCCTGGGTCAAACGGGGTATAGTCCGAATTTCAGATTTGTGGTCAAAGTTGCTGGGTTGCTGGAAGCCCCCGGCAGACATCAAGCAACAGCTCAGAGGCTTACAGAGGGTGGAAGAAAACTGGCGTCACTTAATCCAGGGCATTCCACAGGAATGGAGGTCGCTGTTGGGACCAGAAGGGGTGGACCCGGAGGATACCTGGTATGTCCCAGACCAAGCTGCTGAACCAGGGATGTTGTGGAAAGTCAAGGTAATTCTTCCCAGCGGCTTCAGGCGTATCGAGCGCTGGCGTTGCGAAAGCCCTGCTAATGTCCTAACTCTGGTGGAACAAGATACAATCTTCAGCTGGAGCAACCCATCACAGGCAAGAGTCCTGGAAGTACGAGGCAGAAGTGCCTCGACCCTCTCGCTCACTTGGGTAGGAAGACTCCCACTCAACCAGCTCTGTGTGGACCCTCTAGCATGGAGCTGGTCAGCGGGTGCAGGTGAAGAGAAAGCTTTGAGGATTGGAGAATACTCGGTGGCTCAGGGTTACCAACAGCTATCACGAAAGTTAAAGTCTCCAGCGCAAGTAGCCATCCCTCGCTGGCAGGCGATTTGGGAAGAGGACCTGCCGGATGCAGAGGCGGAATTCGAAAGGCTGTGGGAGAGTCTGTCAAACCTCCCAAACGGTAAGCAGGTCAGCATCCTATGGATGCTCTCCCTCCTGGTCACCCCCTCAGCAGTCTGGTTGCTGAGTAGGGGCATGGAAGTAAACCTGGCATGCACAAGATGCAGGTGGCCGTTCGAATCCACCAGACATCTGTGGTGGGAATGCCCAGCCTCCAAACGCATTTGGAGATGGTGGGAACATCATTGGAAGGAGTGTGGCAGTACGGGAGTGGAATGGTCCAAAAAATGGGTGCTTCTAGGATTTCTCCCCTTACAAGTAGAGGGACACCATGGTTGGGGATACGTCGCCCACGTGGTTCGTGGCCTGATCTGCGAGACAATCTGGAGGGACAGAAATAGGTCGAGATTCGACAGACGCCCATTCTCGGATGTGGAGATCAAGAGTCACATCAAACGGGGTCTGAAGCAGGCTATCCTGGCGGACTGGAGACGTAAAGCCAAAGCAGGTAAAGGCAACAGGAGCCAACTTCGCTGGTTCCGACACACATGGGCGAGGAGCAATCAATTGGTATCGGTCCACCCAAGGAAGGGTCTGACCTTCTCAGATTGGATACTCAACATGGTCAAGCCACCCGCGCAAGAGGGGGAGTGGGCCAGTGAGTAGTCAAGGGTCCTGAATGGGACTGTGTTTCTTAACCAGGGCACTCGGTGCAGTAGGGTCGAAGTAGGCCGTTAGGTGAGTGCCAGTAGGACCGGACGCTGTCCTCTGGGCCGTGTTAGTCCCAGACTTAGCTAGTAAGCAGTTGATGGTTGATAGGTTAAACAGCCTGTTTTTGGAAGTTATTTGAGCGAAAGTTTCTTCGAGATGAGATGATACGGTATTGGTAAGCTACAGCGCATAGTCCTTGTTGACACAATCTGATTTGAATAGGCTAGTCTCCGGTAAGAATGGAGTGTTTCCCAGGCAAGAGCCTGTAAGCTAAGCTGGCTGATGCTGTCAGTATTTCCCGGGTTGAATTGTGAGGTCCCCGGCCTCGAAGTCCATTTATAATGAATTGAATTGAGTTAAAAAAAAATAAAAAAATCCAGGATTACAGTTATACATACGATTAGTTAATTAATAATTACAGTAATTGATTTCAAATAATTCGCTGCCATTCGACTGCCACAGCACACAATCAACGAATCAATAAATAAATAAATACATTAAACCTCGTGAGGATTGTCTCCACTTCGACACGACCGTGGATCCGTATCCCGACTGGAATACCAGACCTTGACGGAACTCTATCGCGATCACACCATCTCGATATTTACGTGATCATGGATCTGGACCTGTATGTGAGCAACATACACTCAGCGGCGACGAGTCGAGCTGAACAAGAAAAAGCGCGCCCAAACATCAACATCCGATATTTGATGTGATCATGAATCTGGACCTGTTCTCGAAGTAGATTCCTCCTGTCTTGAAAGCACAGCCGATCCTCAAAACCCACCTACATATCAGACCACAAGCACTACCATCTTTTTTTTCTCTATCATCAGCTGCTTTACTTGAGACAGTTCACCATCAATCAATCAATCCATCAATCAATCAATCGATCAATCAATCAATCAATCATTCAATCCATCAATCCATCAATCAAGCCATCAATCCATCAATCCATCCAACAATCAATCAATCAATTAATCAATCAATTAATCAATCAATCATTCAATCAATCCATCAATCCATCAATCCCTTGACCAATCAATCAACTAATCAATCGACCGATCAATCAATTAGTTGCGTGCGTTAGGACTTGGCACGTCGTTCTTCAAGTTCCGCCTTCAGTAGTGTTTCCCTTAACTACCTCCTCCTCCTCATCATCATCATCATCATCATCATCATCATCATCATCATCATCAACAACAACATCATCGTCATCATCATCATCATCATCATCAACATCATCTTCCTTCACCTCTTCCTCCTCCTCCGATCTCCTCTCTCTGCTTGCGGCTTGCGATATGAGGGCTAGTAATAACAGCAATTCCATTTTCCCAGGTCGTCCAGCAACGAGCACGTATAAAAAAAATAAAAATAATCATAAAAGAGAAGCCACGTGAAAATGGAACAAGCAAATCAAACCAAGTCGCATCTTGCAGGGGATCCCGATCCTCATCCCGATCTGTCAACGGGCTGATGTGTGTACAAAATTATTTTTTTGTTTTTTTTGGGGGGAAATGCCTGTGTACCAGCCACACCCAAGCAATCTGATGTAAAATTGAATAGCACTTTTTTTTTTCTCGAAGAGCATACTCGCACTAGTAGCACTTTCCTGAACGTACCTGACCGCGATTACGACCGATCTGGATGTATCTGACCGCGTTTATGACTGATCTGGATATATCTGACCGCGAGTATGACCGATCTGGATGTACCTGACCGCGATTATGACCGATCTGGATGTATCTGACCGCGGTTGTGACCGATCTTGATGTTTCTGACCGCGATTATGCCGATCTGGATGTATCTGGCCGCGATTATGACCGATCTGGATGTATCTGACCGCGATTATGACCGATCTGGATGTATCTGATCGCAATTGCGTGCAGATAATAATAGAAAAAGTCCTAGTGTGACTATGCCTTAAGTTTTTCGTGATCACATGATATGACGATGACAACTGAGTGATGAATTTCCTCATATTTGCCTGTTTTTTTTTGTTTTTTGTTTTTAAATCTCGTGATCACATGATATGGCCATAACAATGAGCGATGATTTTCTTCAATTCTTTTTTTTTTTCCGTTTGAATTTTCGAGTACCACGTGATATGACGATGACAATGGGTGATGATTTTCTTTTTTTTTTCTTTTTTTTTTTTCCGATGAAAATATAATAGGTAATTATGATGAAGTGACATCCGCCGGGACAAGCGGCCTCGCTCCACTACTCACCACACATGCACAACAGACAAAAAAAACAAATATGGCGACGTATCTTCCCATGTTCCAGCGTCAGATTCATCCTCATTTTGCACGTTCGGTGATTAGTGGAGCGAGACCCAAGGTCCCTCTCTTACCTCCATTGATCATTCCCCTCCGTCCATTGATTCACGTGATCTGATCTGACAGCACAGAATGAGCCTCGTCGTCACACCACTCGTCAAAATCTGGAAAAAAAGCGAAAACCTATGGCGGATGTATATTTCCGCGTTCTAACGGAAGATACATTTTAACCATTAATTGCACATCCGGTGAGTACTGCGGCGAGGGAGGCCCAATGAAGCAAGACCCGGGGGTTAAGCCCCACTACTACTGGGGTTGAGCCTCTTTTTTTTTTTCTTTTTTTTTTTTTAAAGACGTGGTGTCGAGTACTCATCGGTTCCTCCCATCCAATCTTTTTTTTTTTTTTTTTTTTGCCATTTAATCTGTGAACACCTCATGGCCGCAAAATGTGGCATTGTTGAAAAGTACTCCCGCTAGTGGATTCTCTGCGATACAGGGCCTGGCAGTTGCACCACTCGCCATCCACCAACATTTTGAATGCATCTGGACAACCGCTCTGTCCCCATGCGTTCAAAATCTTGGCGGACGGCGAGTCGTGCAACTACTGTAGCGCCACACAGAAGATGACCCTTTTTTTTTCTTTTTTTTTTTTTTGAAGCATTTGATGTCCCTTTTTTTATGTATACATACAGAGAGGAGGGAAGACGATAGAGATGGAAACGGCACCTTCCCTCCTCTCCTCCTCTCCTCCCACCTTCCCCTTTCCATCTCCATTGTCATCCCTCCTCCTCCTCTACTTACTTCCACCACCTTCCCGCCGCCATCGCTACACATTTCCCGTCATTTTCTATTTCCCGCGCACGGTAAAAGGCGGGAAAGTGTAGCCATGAAGGCGGGAAGGTGGGAAAAGTGTAGCACATGGAAAACGAACCGCCCGCCTTCCCAGCCTTCCTTCATCGCTACACTTTCCCGCCGTTTTCCGCGCGCGGGAAATGGAAAATGACGGGTTCCCGCCGTTTTCCGCGCGCGGGAAATTGAAAATGACGGGTTCCCGCCGTTTTACGCGCGCGGGAAATGGAAAATGACGGGAAATGTGTACCGATGGCAGCGGGAAGGTGGTGGAAGTAAGTGGAGGAGGAGGAGGGATGACGATGGAGATGGAAGGGGGAAGGTGGAAGTAGAGGAGGAGGATGGAAGGTTATGGAGATGAAGAGGGAGGAGGAGAGGGAAGGTGCGAGGGGGAGGAGGTAAAGGAAGACGATCAAGTGGAGGGCGAAAGGTGTCCGCAGCAGAAGGGTGAAAGAGGGGGGCCGGGGGGCGTGAATTACCTGGGCTATGGCAAGCCGAGCTGCCGGCTATGGCAAGCCGAGCTGCCGGCTATGGCACGCAGAACTGACGGGTGGGCGGCAACACAAGATGGGGGAAAAGCAGACAGCAACGGGAGGGAACAGGGACGTCAACACCACGCTTTCGAAATTCGAATCTGGAAACAGAGCCAAGTTGGATGTGGAGCAGGCAGTGCGGCCTACCCGTAGTTCAGTTGGTTAGGCACGCAGGTTGCACTCAGGAGGTTGTGGGTTCAAGCCCCATGAGTGCCTGCGGGGCAGTTAGTGCCAACGGACTGTGGTAGCCCTCTGGATACCCCTGGCGGGGTCTATGACCAACCCGGGTGTGAGTGCGAGCGCAAGTGGGTTGTGTTGTGTGTGGTGTGTGGGAGAGTGTTGGCCATAGCCTCTGCTGCTACTCGATGAGGGGTCGAGGACGATGAGAAAGGGAGACGCAGCTACTGGCAAAATGCTTGGTCTTTTCCGTTAGCCAGACCCCCACCGGTGGCCCCACCCCATCTCTGACTACCGCTGTTGGGGCAGGGGGCAACATGATTTACCTCGTTTGCGAGGCCCTATGCTTGCAGGGGTCCCCTCTAGATATATAGTCTTAGGAGTAGTGGTAGGAAGGTAGTGAAAGGCAAAAAGAATTTGAGAGAAGAACATAGTGAATTTTAAACCACCAGTACCGCTGCCAATGTTGGGAAATTATTACTTTTAGCCTGTAGCTGAAGAATTCGGGGGTGGGACCCAGGGTCGACAAGTCCCATAAATCTTAGTTTTCTTTTGCCCCATAAATCTTAGTTTTCTTTTGCCTACGCAAGAAAGGAAAAGGAGGAAAAAAACAAATAATGTACTGCAATGATGTCGGGCAGGGTAGTTTAGGAGGTCATGCTCACAGTCTTCCTCTACAGAATACATATTACAGCAAATACGGTCACATTCTGAAACTTGTTGTTTTCTTTTTTTTCTTTCTCGTTTGTTTCTTTGTTATGAACCTTTTGCCAACAAGGTAGGGCGGAATCCGTGATCTGCTCTAGTTGTGTTTCCTCGGAGGATTGTAACCTTGATCACACTAACACTTAGAGGAATGTATCCAGCCATTTCCACGGTCGAATCTGTGTTTCCGTTGTTTTTTTTTTCCCATGTTTTATTTTATGACAATTTGAATCTGTGATATGCTCGAGTTGTGTTTCCTCTAAGGATTGTAAACCTCATCACACTAGCGCTTGGAGGGATGTATCCAAGCATTTTCACGGTCAAATCCGTGTTCCTTGTTTTTTTTTCCTTGTTTTGTATTTCTTGAATCTGACAATTTTGCGGCGGGGCTAAGATGCCCTCATTAAGGGCACACTCATACTACCATTTTCAAAAATATATATAACTGCAATCATGATCACGACCAAAGCTTTGTTTTTTTTTTTCTTGTTTTATTGTCTTATGAGTTTCACGGTCGCAAGTTTTTTTTCTTATTTTTTTTTTCCAGTGAGAGTACCATAAAGAAAATGGAGTGGGACCCAGGTTCGGCAAAACTCGGAGCGCAGTGAAATTAAGGTCGATAAAAACATGCTTGAATGTACTAGTCGTTTAGATAATTAAAAAAAAAAAAAAATGTCTGTCCGATCGAGGGGCAGAAGCGAAAAGTAGAGTCTTGGCCTTTACAGTCCACGACTAAGGGCGCATGGCAAAGTTTCCCTCACTTGGTATAGGGGCAAAGTACAAAAGTAAAAGTTCATGACATTTCGTCGTACCC